ATTTTGATGACTCAGTTCTCCCACCATTTTTCTACCATCAAACTTCTACAGTACTTCATCTTGATAGCCTGGCTTCAAATGGCCTGCAAATAATCATATAAAGAAGAACCAAAGGTATATATAGTTAACAAAAATTGGGGGTGGAAGGAAGCACGGAAAGGGGAAGAAAGGAGAGATCTACTAATTCAACATTGCTCAAAAAAGGTGTCCATACTGTCAAAGGGATGCATATGCCAATTTTTCCATGTCAAAGGCTTTTTGGGAAGCAGGGTGATGTGGTGCAAGGGGCATATGGTTTGGGAGTGAGACAACTCTGACTTTGATTGATGATCTCACTAACTTTGATGCTGGGAAATTATTTAATTACTTGGTTTTCTCAACTGTAGAGTAGCGTTACAATGATCAAAAGAGATCTCGTAGGGACGCCTGAGTGGCTCAGTTGGTTAAACAACTGACTTTGGTTTCAGCTTGGGTCATGACCTTGGGGGTCATGGGATTGAGTCCTGCGTTGGGCTCCAGTCGTAGCTCAGAGGCTGCTTGAGATTCCCTCTCCCTCTTCTTGTGCCCTTCCCCCCTGCTGAAGTGCACACACTCTCATTCTCTCTAAAATAAATCAATAAATCTTTAAAAATAAAAATAAACAAATGAGGTCTTGCAGCTGAAATGCCTAAAGTTGTGCTTGCTACACAGTTGGTGTTCACTAATAGTAATTATTATTAGTTTTAGACATTGAGCCGCACTAGAATAAATGTGGAAATCAAAATGGTGACAGATTAGGTAAGTAAGGCTCAGAGGTAGGATAGGTTTGACCATAGAGAGGGCTGCGTCGAATCAGACCAACTAAGCAAAGAGTGGGTGTTGGCAGCTAGGGCTACACAGACTTTATATATCCAGATTATTGCCCATTCTGGTGTTTGCCCTGCAATGTAACGTCCTGCTATATTTGTATCAGGATAGTTGCACTTGTTCCAAACCGTCCAAAAACCCAGCATTAATCACAGTTTTTTGGATAAGCTTATTATTAGTTTGGGAAAATCTTTGGTACATAGTCCATTCCTTCGATTAAAATGAGTATTTCTTTTGTCTTTGAGGATTTTAATACTTTTGGTTCTCTTTGGAGCTTCTCTTCTTAGTTCTTCTTAAAAAGGCTAATTTCTATTCTTTATTGTTGTTGTTAGAGAATTCAGTCCTAATCATGTAGTAGCAAAGGTTCAGTTCAAGCAGACCTGGCTTCCACCTGGCCGTTGCTTAGCTATTGTTTGATCTTTTTGAGCACTGATTTCCTAACCTGGCAGATTAGGAATAATAATGCCCACCTCCTCTGGAATGGTATGTGGATTAAATGATATGATGTCTCAAAAGCTCTGGGCTCATGATCAGCTGTATCAGTGATCTTAGTACTATTATTTACATTTTCCCAACTCCTCGCGTCCCAATTAAAGAGCTCTTTGCAAGATAAGCAGTTCTTTGAGATATATATATATATATATTTATATTTTATAAACAGAAAATTTTATATATATAACATTTGTAAGTAATCTCAATACCCAATGTGGGGTTCAAACAACTCTAAGATCAAGAGTCACACAATCTACTAACTGAGCCAGCCAGGTACCCCCCCCCCACCAAATATTTCATTCATGTCGGGAAAATATCAAAAACTATAGTACCAGGCTGAGTCTTAGCACATTTAAGAAAATCAGAGAGGAGTTTAATTTAATTTTATTTTTTATTTAAAAAAAAATATATATATATTTAGTTAGTTGACAGAGAGAGAGCATGAGTGGGGTCAGGGGAGAGGGAGAGGCAGGCTCCCTGCTGAGCAGGGAGTCTGATGTAGGCCTTGACCTCAGGATCGAAACACTGGGCTGAAGGCAGATGATTAACCTAGTGAGCACCCATGAGCCCCCAGAGATTGTAAGCTTACTTTGTGCAAGATGAAGAGATAGTAGAATTCCTAGGCAAGGGGGAAAAAATCTGCCATTAATCTAAATATGTGATTATCACCAGAATTTCCTTCCTCCTGAGGAATACGGCTAAAACACTAATGATTCTTACAGATTATCCACAAACACATTTCCTAAGAGGCAGTAGGGTGCAGGAGAGTCGCTAAGGAGCCATACATTCTAAGTAAGTCACTGCCTCCACCTTGCTTCTGTTTCCTCAGCATCGAATGAGGTGATTATCCTTAGTTGGGGCGGGGAGGGTGGTTGGGAATAGGCTGTCACTGGTAGCCATTGGACATGTTCTGTATATGGTAGCCATCTTCCAAGATGGCCTGTGTGATCTCTGCTTCCAATAGTCACACTGCTTTGTGGTACATCCCATGGTGCAGCAAGGTTGGTCTTTGTGACCAATTGGATGCCACAGAAGTGAAGGTCAGCCACTTCCAAGATAAGCTTAGAAAATGTGCTGCAGCTTCCCTCTTGGGCTCTCTCACCACTTGCTCTGTCAAAAGCCTCATTGTGAGCAGCCCTGTGGAAATGCCTGCTGCAAACCAGCCACGTGAGTGACCTCGGAAGCAGGCTCTCCATATCCAATGAAGTCTGATGACTGCAGCCCCAGCTGACACCTGGAGTGCAGGCTTAAGAAGACCTTGAGCCTGAACCACCCAGCTAAGCTGCTCCCGGATCCCTGACCTACAGAAACCGAGGGGACAAAAGGTCATTGTTTTAAGACTCTAAAGTTTAAAGTGTACAGCAATAGGCAACTAATACGGGATGCTGTTGGCTTCTTTGAAGCGGAGTCAAGGCTGCTAGATGTCTGCAGTCTGTGGAACAGTCCTGCTCAGTGAAGACTTGTCCTACCTTCTCGTAGATTGAATGTTTGTGTCCTCCACAAAATTCATACTTGAAACCTAATCCTCAAGGTGATGGGATTTGGAGGTGAGGACTTTGTGAAGTGATTGGGTCATGAAGGTGGGGGGAACCGTCAGGAATGGGAGCCCAGGGAGCTCCCTCGCCCCTTCTGCCATATGAGGGCACAGCAAGAAGACAGCTGTCCATGAACCAGGAAGTGGGCCTTTACAGGCCCCTGCATCTGCCACTGTCTTCGTCTTAGACTTCCCAGACTCCAGAACTGCAAGAAAGAGATGTTTATCATTTTAGTCACACAGTTCATGGTATTTTTATTGTAGCCATCTGAAAGGACTCAAATACACCCCAGTGTGGAACTTAGGCCTTTCCCCACACTGGCACGATCTCCCTCCGGGTTTGAAATGTGTGATTGTATCCATTCCTTTGCTCAAAGCACAGCAGACCCTTGTGCATTGGCCCAGCCACATTTTTTACCTTTGCAGGTCTTTGCCAGATGTAACACATGGTAACAGAGTAGGCCTCGTTCATTATCAACCAACAAAAGCTTGGAATTATGTCTCCAAAGTCCAAAAATGTACAAGCCATGAAGATAAAGAGTAATGAATGTGATGAGGCAAAACTGAAAGTTTTGATGTATGTATGAAGATAAGACAACACAAATAAACAGCACAAATGATAAATAAGACCTGAAGATAAGAGAGATGGAAACAATCAAGGGAAAAAAAAAGATGAGGAAAGAACATTTTTAAAGATTTGGTTGATTGCTTCTTGACCATCACCTTAAGAGAATGTAAAATTGTGTAGTTTGGGTTGTTTGAGAACCCGAATTCCCAAGATGCCCTTTTGCCTGGAGTTTGTTACAAATAACACTTATTCAAGAGAGTAAGACATTGTTTTGTTCCCCCTCACAATCCACAAACACCTCACTCAGGACAGGAAATGTACATTCAGTGAAGGGCTATGTCAAAAACACAATTCATAAGAAAATGGGTAAACTTTACTTTTTTTTTCTTTTGTATGGAATTAAATTGTTGGAAGGAAGCCAAGGAAGTGACACATTTCACCTCCTGTTTCTGGCTGAACAGTCCTTAAACCAGCAGTGGTTGTTCATCAAATCGTTTTGGGTCTTAGGTATTGTGGGTTAATTAATTTATTGCCCAGTCAACAAATTTTAACTTTTTCACATTTCCATAAGGAAACGAGATACAGTGTCTGTATATAGGTTGTAATCTAGTCTACTTTTTATTAAAACTGGGGGGGGGGGCGGGGAATATCCTTTGCATCATCTACATGAACAGTAGTTTGTCTCCTAGTATGCACAGGGTTGTGTTGATTTTTGATCTTTATTTAAGTAACTACTCTTCAACTCAGTCACAGCAGAGAATAAATCCTATTTCTTGCATGTTTTTCTGAATGTAGTTGACTGCTCACTACCTGTCAGAGTCTTAGCTTCCTCATCTGTAAAATATAAGCATTTACTGTAAAAGTCACATGTATACTTTATAGACTCGATACTATGTACACATGTATAGAGATGAAAGTTTTTGTGAATAGTAAAGTGATAGGAAAATGCTAACTACTTTGTTTTCCAATTCATTTTATGAGAGTTGAATATTTTTTTCTCCCTAAGTCTAGGACAGTATAAGTTTGTGCATATAAGAAAGCATGTCAAACCTGAGTCAGGAGAGTGGAAAGTACAAACAGCCAGTTGGATATGTGGCTCTTAGACTCAGGTCAGAGTTCTAAGCTGGGCAGTAACCCCCCTGTCTGTGGTGGGAGGAGTTAAAGGTACACCTTGGGTCCCATAAGGAGCAGAGTGTATAGAACCCAAAGAGGTAAGAATCACCAAAGACCAGGGACTGAACCCAAGGTAATACTAGCTGTTTAAGGCAGAGGTCTTTAACGGGGATAAAGCACTCCCTGTGAAGACTTTCAAAGAGGGTAACGTGTACATAAGTGTTTTAAGGGAGTCCATTTCTAGATTCTCAGCTTCAATTTCTAATCTTTCCTCAGTTGCTCTGTTTCTGAGCTGACCTGTGATGGGATGGAGGAGGGAGTTCAGTATCTCCTCTCTCATCCTTTCATGCTTGCCTTTCTTCTCATTTCCAAAAGAGAGGCACACCCATCATAGCACCAGGTTGCATCACCCTAGAGAGGAAGAACCTCTGGGGAAGCAAACAAAGGGGCAACTGGAAATATTGGTGCTGGCTCTGAGAAAGCCCATGACTCTGGTGGCCAAGTAGCAGATCCTCTGCCAGCTGGTGGTCTCCAGCTCTGCCTGCGACAGGATTGAAATCAGATCTTATTGACCTGTCCCCTGGTAAGCCATCACAAGGAGTTTGTGATTAGGGATTGCTCTGGGCAATCTATTTGGGGCATAATTCTAAAGGAGCTCAGAGTTGAGAGCCACTGCTCTAAAAAAACCTTCTTCCTTTTCCATCCATTTATTTGTGAGTAAGGTTTCTCAAAGTGTACATCTATAAAAATGAAAAATAGGAGTAGAATTGATGGTACACCTTGTCTTATTCTAGAAACCAGGAATATTTACTAACAGATGACTAAACTTGGCGGGTGGGGGGGGGGGAATATATATATATCTCCAGTCCCAGAAATTAAGAGATGCATTTCTGTCTTAGTCAATTCAGGCTGCTATAACAAAATACCATACTGAAAGGCTTATAAATAGCAGAATTTTTATTTCTTGCTGTTCTGGGCATTAGGAAATCCAAGATCAAGATGCTGGCAGATTCTGGTAGGGTAAGAGCCTGCTTCCTGGTTTCATAGATGGCATCGTTTCCCTGGGTCTTCACCCGTGGAAAGGGCAGGGGAACTCTGTCGTGTGTCTTTATAAAGCCACAAATCCCCTTACAGACTAATCACCCCCAAAGGCGCCCCCCTCCTGATACTATCACATAGGGAAGTTAAGATTTCCACATGTGAATTTGGGGGAGACACAGACATTCAGGCCACAACAATTCCCAATAAAAACTTATTTAGGGCAAAACTGTAGTGACAGAGGCAAATCAGTGGTTGCCTAGAGTCAGGAATAAGAGTTGAGGACTGTCTGCAAAGAGGCAAGAGGGAAGTTTTGGAGTAAAAGAAATGTTTTATATCTTAATTTTGATTGTGGTGTCAGTTATATAAGTGAACACAATTGTCCCAGGTTATCAATATGTCTATCTAAAATGGGTGAATTTTTTTTTTGGATGTAAATGATACCTCAATAAAGTTAGGGGAAAAGTTTTCTGTTTAATCTTTATTTATCAAATGTATAGTATTTGTTGTTTTGAACAATTATGTACCAGTAATCACTGTAATGGCAACTCAACACAGAAGACACTTTTAACATTTAGAGACTTGTGGCTATGGGAATCACAGCAAATTTTAATTTTTTTTCCCAGAGAAAAGACTGATCAATAAAAGGCTTTAAAGTATAAAATATATTAAGATTAAATTCTGCGGGAAGGGAAAGATGATATCAAAGGGAGAAAAAAAAAACCATATAAGATGTCAAAGGTTAAAAAATATTTGAGGTTGCTCAAATATTTTAAAATCTGGATGATACTGGATTATAACCAAACACCATGTTTCATAGACTCCATTAGATTTATTTAAAAGAATGATACAACAGGGTCATTTCAAAGTAATGAGATTTACAATGTACTGAAAAATCCATTCTTTGCAACTCTTTAGACTTAGGATAACATTTTTAAGATATAAACTAAAAATGTACAGGGACAGTACATAATCTTTTGAGGTACTTTTATCTTAATTTTTTAAAAGATTTATTTATTTGAGAGAGAGAGTGTGTGAGTGAGGGAGAGGCAGACAAGAGGGAGACAAGCAGACAAGTCCCAACAGGACCCTGGGATTATGACCTGAGCCGAAACCAAGAGCCAGATGCTTAACTGACTGAGCCACCCAGGTGCCCCTCAAGGTACTTTTAAGAATAAAATTATAAAAGAATAAAAGAGGACTGAGAAAGAATAACCACAGGGAAAGAAGGGAAACTCCGAGAGAATGTGCACAGGGTTCAAAAGAGGAGAGACTTTCGAGGATCAAGCAAGCAGGTGTCACAGCATCACCAACTGAGGCTTTGACTCATGAGTGTGTGTCAGTGGGAGATAGTTTTGCTTTTCGATTGTCCAAGCAGGGATTTTGAGTTGGGAGATCAAGCATTCCTTAGCCCCTCTAGGGGCTCAGAGAAAGTTGAACTGTTTGCAGAGGAGGGGCTCCAAGGAGATTGCAGAATTGGGCATGATTGGGGGGCCTCAGTCAGCAAGAATGTTCTAAAGGGTAGGGGAATGAACCCAGGCCCAGGGATCCTGAGAGAAGTGGAGTCAAAGGCCTTTTCACTTAGGACCCCTGGGGCAGGTGCCAGGCATAGTGTCTACTTAAGGAGTAACTCATCTTTTAGTCTAGACAGCACCTGGTGTGCCCAGCTACAAACAGAAGGAGGGGTGACACTCATCCCCAAGGGAAGTGGACTTGGCTGGACAAGAAGCAGGTCACCTAGGACTTGTATGAACCAAATACCCCATCCCCAGCATTCTGGGCTGTCTAAAACCCTTCTGATTCTTGCATGACCCAAGACCTGAGAACCCTAATCATGGCTACGATTGGATTTCCTTCCCAGTGGAAAAGGAAAGCTTAGAAATATTAATTTTTAGAGTCAGAAACATAAATATCACACTTCTTGAAGTCTGCGTGTTGTTGCATATTGAAAGTCACTCCATAAGGACTGAATTGTGTTGGGTTGGATTTAACAGCAAGGAGGTCATAGGTGTGATTCCAGACAAATGGGGAGGGAGGGAAGATCTACATTGTATAAAATGAGGAATGAGTGGGAGGTGAGGACATGGAGAAAACACATGTAGACTGCTATTCCAAGAAAGTCGGCTATGAATAGAAGGTAAGGGAACGGGTGGAAGCTTGGGGAGGATGCCGAGTAGAAGACTCAGCTGTGAGGCCACGGCAAGCAGTGTTCTTACACGCCTTCTTGTTCAGCTTCTCAGGGCAACTTTTGTTTCACGGCATTTATAAAAGTGACTGTAAGGTAAAGGGAGCTGCTGCCATAGAGGAACCCCCACATCGCAGATGCTTAACATAATTAAGTTTTATTTCTCATGAAGGTAAAACCGAATTGAGTCTTCCTATTGCATGGTCGCATTCTCCAGCAGAGATGCAGGGGCCCAAGCTCATTCCACCCAGACGATCTTACTTAGCCCACGTCTGAGCCTCTTAAGACGTTGCCCTCAGTTTGGACTGGTGTCTTGACTAGGGTGCTGCTCTAGTCCCAACCTGTCCCGGTACCAACCTAGTTTCCAGTCTGATACATTCACATCTCAGAGTTTCTCTTTCTCTTTTTCTTTTTTTAAAGATCGATTGATTTGAGAGAGAGAGAGAGAGAGAGAGAGTGAGCACGAGTGGGGGGAGAGATATAGGGAGAGGGACAAGCAGACTCTTCGCTGAGTGTGGCGCTTGACTTGGACTCCAACCCAGAACTCATGATGTGAGCTGAAATCAAGAGTCAGACACTTAACCGACTGAATAACCCAGGTGCCCCTCAGAGTTTCCTGTAGAGATCTTGTAAGGGAATCCTCTCTTTCTGTAAGTCAAGTCACAAAACCCCTAAATTCTTAGTGTGGGAAGTATCAGAGGGAAAGGCTTGTGGGAATTGGGATGTGATAGGCAGCAGGACCAAACAATCTCCTATGAAACATGGGCATTTCATTTTTTCCTTGGGGTTCTCTGCTGTGATGACCATTATCAGCACCATGGCCACAGGGACTTTCTCCCTGAGCATCCTACCCCAGCATAAACAAGACCTATCCTCACACGGCTAGGACAAGATGGCATTTTCAAAAAGACTTAGCTAAATTCAAAGGGAGGGCAAATGGAATTCAATAAAGGTATTGTGTGTAAACCAGAGGTCGCTTGCTGGTCATGCATAGCTGCAGAATTACTCACCGCCCATCCTCTCCTCTAAGTGCTGCCCCTCATGACCAGCAGACTTCTCAGTGTGGACCATTGGGTTTGGCCTGACTCCAGACACTCTTCGATTCTTTGATAGTTGACTCTTGTACACTATTGTATCAGGTTGGCCTAATGATGAATCATCTTGTTAATTTTGGTATTAATTTAAGATGAAAATATAAAATTTTAATGGTTCAAACTCTTTTGACTTTGATTCAGTATGCTTTGTGTGTGTGTGTGTGTGTGTGTGTGTGTGTGTGTGTGTGTGTGTTTGGTAAGGATATACCTGAGGAGCCTAATAGCAATGAGAAAGTTGTCTGAAGAACACAGAACGTGAGTAAAGAGAGATTAAGGGCTTCAATGATGGTTCATCTGGTCCATGATAGGATTTGGAAAATCATCTCCATAAGACTATGTGGTATACCTTTTTCTTACAGAAATATTCCCATAGGTGCAGCATTTCCCCATGATGGGGAAGGTTGAACAATGACAAATTTTTGCCATTTGATTCGTTTTGTTTTTCAAGAATTCATATAGATGTCTACCTTTATATATATATATATATATATATATATATATATCAATCTATCTACCTTTAAATATATACATATGTACAAATAATATGTATATATGCAATATGTTATATTACATATATAATAATATATAACATAATATATATGTTAAAAATAACATATAAAATATATATGTATATACATATATGTAATATATATATAATATATAATATATATATATATATTTTTAAGTAGGCTCCATGCTGGGCATGAGCCCAATGCAGGGCTTGAACTCATGACTCTGAGACCAAGGGTCAGATGCTTAATAGACTGAGCCACCCAAGTGTCCCTAGGTCTCTACCTTTATATTTTGAGGACTTGTTTTCTATTTGGTGTTAAGTTAGTTAACTTTGGGTTCATTTTGCTTAATCAAATTGAGATTTAGGACATACTCTAAATTTTATAGTAATACTTTGGCTAAGTTATTAATATATCCAGATAGCTGATCTCATTTTGAAATTTTCTTTTGAACTTTTTTTTATTGAGCCATAACTCACAAAATATAAAATCCCCTTTTAAAGCGAACAGCTTAGAGTTTTTTTTAGTATATTCACAAGGCTGTGCAACCATCGCCACTGTCTAATTCCAGAATATTTTCATCACTTCAAAAAGAAACCACATTCAATTAGCCCCTACTCTTCATTCCCCTGCCCCTAGCCACTGACAACTATTCACTTCTGCCTTTCTGAAATTGCCTATCCTGTATATTTCATATAAATGGAATCATATAATAGGTGGCCTTTTGCATTTGGTTTCTTTCATTTAGCATAAC